TAAACCCCAAAACCCCACAACCGCACTACAGGGGGAAGAGGGATTCCAAGGAGGGAGCCGGGGGGGGGTGGGCATCCTGGACCATACATATATATACAGACAGGTCAGGCACTGCACGGCCCGCCCCCATGGTCCATGGACCAGGATGCCCCCCCCCCCCCCCCCCNNGGGTGGGGTGTCGGGTCCCTCTTCCCCCTGTAGTGTGGTTGTGGGGTTTTGGGGTTTAAGCTTTAGCTTAAGCTGTTGAGTCTGGGGTTTAGGGTTTATAGGTTAAAAGTTATGAGGCTTCGAATCGACAGGAGCTTAGGGAGGGTTTGGGGTGTAGGTTGGTTAGGGTGACGGTTTATGTTCTGCTTGAAGCTTGGAGCCTGCATTTAGGCGGAATTTAGGGTTGGCTGTAAGGTTTAAAGTTTAGAGTGTTGAGTACAGGTTCAGGTTAATCGGTTAATGCAAACAGGAACACGCCCTACGTTATAGGGTTTATGGCTTGCGTAAGATCCCGGCCCCTCTGTGACCCCTGGCCCCCCCAGCAGCACCCCACCCGACCGCCCCGACCCCTCTCCGCGCCAGCCCCCCTCCCCCCGCAACTACCAGACTAACCCAGATGCATACATACGTACGTACGTACATACATACATACATACGTACATACATACATACATACATACATAGATACATACGTACATAAGTACATACATACATCACGCTTTCACCTTTCAAGGCAAAGAGTCCGGGTCGGATGCAGCCGTATTGGGAGTGGCGCAGAAATATGTAGACATAGTATGCGCTCACGAGACCGGGTGGGACATAACCAGCAAGTCGGAAAAGCTATCCCACCCGCATGCCAAAACAAATAATGAAGGCACATGGACACTGCATGAGAATGCTCGGCAAACAAAGCGTGCTTTGTATTCCGTAGTCGGCAATCAAAGCGCCAGACAAAGAACAATCCAAATTTTGGATTTAAAACACCTTCATCGAGGTGAAATCGGGAACATCAAAGCAACTGCCATAAAATCAACAAGAGTGCTCACTTAACAGCAGCATGAAAGCCCCACATTCAAAGACAAATCTCGCTTGCATCACTCACTTGCTCAGGATCTGCTAAGTCAGGATACCGGAGTCAGGGTCATCAGGTCCATTGCCTCGTCGTCTGCGAGCTTATAACTCCTCGGCGAAGGACTTGCAGCGGTTGCCCAATCAGCTTTCAGTGCGATCCAGATGCCCTGACTTGACGAGCTTGTGTTCTGCTTGACAAAGCTGGAAAGCCAGCATTTTGTTGCAACCAGCCCCAGGCTCCTCTGGCATGTACTATGCGAGTGTGTCCTCCAAACCACCGGCAGACGCACCCATGGCGGGTGTTGGGGCACAGCAATCTTCCGCACTGTGCAGCAATGTGGGCCCTACATACATACATACATACATACATACATACATACATACATCGTACATACACACACGCACACGCACACAGTTGCTATTCGGTTTTCCGGGTAGGTTCACCTCGGAGACTCCAAGGGAAAAACTTGAGTCTTCAATAGACTGGACCCTCCTTTTTCCAGACTAGTAAATACGCATAAATACGCCGTACGCGCGCACAGGGGTGGCGAACTTCCCGCAGGGGCGATCTCTGCGCCCGGCCCGCAGCTTGAGATTCTTATTATTTTCGAGGTCCGGGTTCCAGGCTGCGTGAGGCGCAAGGAGTTTCCGAAAGACATTCAACATCAAGATTTGAGCCTCTTAAAACGAACGCGAGCTGTTGATGTGAAAACCGTTGTGCCTCAAGGGCCAGCCAATGAGGTGCCCTTGTTCGTCACCAATGCAGCACGAACGCCTTCTGCATCTGCGGAGGGTGGTGTCGGAAACACCTGGGTCGCTGGGCTCAATAGTCGCTACTTTTGCTGCCGCTGGCCCTGTACTTGCACGCAGTCCTTGCGGAAGTGCCCAGCTAGAGATGCTGTGCTGAACGTTGCCCGTTCATAACTTGGCAGGTGCTGGAGTCATTCGTGGACCTTCAGAACACGTCGGCAGTCCTTGCTGCAGCCTGGCCAAAGAAGGTGCCCACAGCGCTCTGGTTTGGCCGGTTTGTTCAGTCAATTCGACTTCTATTCATCACTTCCCCCATGCATTAAACCCTCCAAAAATCAAAAACGCCTTCCGTGGAAATCCACCTGAAATCATCTCCGCCTTTGAATTAGGGCCAATGAGGGGATGTAAAAACAAGGGCAGGAGCAAGAGCAAGAGCAGGAGCAGCAGCGTGAGTAGGAGCCAGAGCAAGCGCAAGAGCAAAAGCAGGAGCAACATCAATAGCAAGCGCAAGAGCAAGATCCTCCCAATGTGACAGTAGAGTTAAACATACCACCGAATAATACAAACAACTTATCGAGTTTTTCTTGGGGGCCGCCCGACTGTTCAAAATTAGAGGGAAACGAGTAGACCATCTTTTTCTCCCCAACTTTGCTGCACCCCTAACACCCTCCACTTGTTTTTCTAGTCAGCTTTGCTTTCTATCGCCGACGAAAAAGTGACACTCAGGCCCCGGCAGAGCTTGCGCGCCAGCGGTCGCAGGCACAGTTTTCTCTGTCGCAGTGCCAGGGCTTTCGCTAATTATGCACTCTCCTGCATGTCAGTGATGTCGATGCTGCCACATCTCCGATCTGTAGGGCTTACAGGTCAGAATCAGCTAGCCGGGACATGACCTGCCGGAACTGTGGCCCGATCGGGAACTTGGTGCTGCAACAGCAACAGCCGGATGATTGAAGCCTGCCCATGGGAAGAGTCTGTGCATCTCCGAGCCAATACCGTGGCTTTCGCTCGGCAGTCTAGTGAGCTTGCACGACAGGTGCCCGGCTACGAGATTCGCGATCTCCTGGAGGCAACGATCGGCGGAAATACGCAGCGTGCTGCCCTGGCCGCACCAAGAAAGGCTGCTGACACCCAGCTTTGATCATTTGGGTTGAAAGAATGCACACTTCTTGAAGGATGGCAATGAATGAAGCTGCGGATGCTCCTCCGTCCCGTGAGGCTGTAGTCACGACAATCTTCGTGTGGTTCGTGGCTTCGCAGTTGCTCGGCTTTCACTTGCCCTCTTGCTGATCATCGCCGCATGTGAATTCGTAGATTGTAGACGACCCACGTGCTACACACGGTCACCCCTGTGGCCATGATTGGGTGGCGACGACCCCAGCCGCAAGGTTCCTCGACATTGGCTCCGCGGTGGAACTACATGCCCCGCCAGGATACGAGCCGCCTGCCCGCGAAGCACCGAGGTTCTTCAAGCAGTGGAGCTTTCCACCCGAGGCTTCGCTGCAACCCGCGGGTGCAGTACATCAGCCTCCCGGCTGGCTCCTGCAGCCTCATCTCAGGTTGGCTCAGGGCTGCTACTCGCAGCCTTTGTTTTCATCCCGATGCCATGAGGGAGCTGTGCACTCGGGGTTTCCTTGGCAGGCGTTACCTCCACCACCGGCGACGTGTTTCATCAGTATTTGTCTTTGGCTTTGACATTGCCTGGACAGCAAGTGCAGCCTGACTTCGTTGGGTGTTGGCGCTGGCAGTCAGAAAGTCCATGACCGTAATGTAGCCACTCCAATTCCTTTTTTTTGGTGACTGTCCAGTGGCTGAATGAAGTGTTCGGCATCCAGCATCGTTCCAGCATCTCACCATGTACTACTGTATGCAAAGATCTGCGATGCTTTGGTAGTCGAGGCTTGTAGAGAACAGGAAGAAGCTGCACAGCACTCGCACGAAGGTACCCCAACACTGCCTACGAGTTCGGAGTGGCTGCGGTCAATCCAAGTGCTGCTGCTACACCGAACTTCTGGGGCCTGGTGCCTTTGGCTGACGATGCCCTGAGAGCAACTGAACCCTTCTGTCTTGCAGCTCCGGAAATGCTCTGGAGGTGTTGCGGAAGCCTGGTGGCGAAGTGGCCGACTCTATCCGCACACTACCGGGCTATGCCGCTTTGCAGTCCGAAGTTGAGATATTTGAGATGCATCTTCTGGTTGTTGTTACAGAGACCTTTGCCGATTCTGAGATATTCTAGCAGCATGTGCGATGAAGTGAAGTGCCGATATGCCGAGCCCAGGATCTCACGGACTTCCAACTCGATGTGCAGACCCCGCTGCCATCCTCCACGCGGCCTGCCGTCGCTTGCCCAGGGAGAACTGCCACTTTTCAGACATCCAAACCCAAAAGAACCATGGAATGCCTGACGACAGAGCGGTGCAGTGCAGTGAGGTTGTGAGCTTCGTCCGTGTTGCGCTCACATTTGCAAGGCCGGATCTAGGATTTCAAGAGGTCGAATTTTCTTTGGATAATAGATGGTCATGCACGGAACCGAAACTGCAGTAATAAGCAGCCTACTTCAAATCCATTGTGCAGGGAGCTTGCTCCAGGACAAGTTGCGCACGACTTGGCCTCAGATGTGAGAGGGCTGGAACAGTTGGACAGGCAACAGCTCTAGGACAACGCCAGCAATTGACCAGAAAAAGTCTTAAAACGGTCAGTACCATGAGTAGTAGGAGTAGGAGTAGTAGGAGTAGTCGTAGTAGTAGCAGAAGAAGAAGAAGTAGTAGCAGTAGTAGTAGTAGTAGTAGTAGTAGTAGTAGTAAGTAGTAGTCGTCGTCGTCGCCGCCGTCGTCGTCGCA